ATGTCAAGTTTATTCTATTAATTTACAACACTTTACATATTTACAAGGTTTATTACACAACACACATAACATATTAAATCCTTGTGGCTCTACTCTATCCATCCTTCTTTGAGAGTCAGAGCCGACTAACTATTCCTAAACATTATAATTGTTGATCCCTACGCTGCTAGACAATCACCGCAGTGACATCATTAGTCCCGATCGTTATCGTTACCTATCCAATCTGTTATCGGTTCCGTGGTAATGTCCGTACGAGAGGAGAGATGGTTCGATGCTACATGGTGAGAGTTTGGGAGAGTTTCTGTACAAACGACAGTGGCGTAGCTAGGGTAGGGTGAGGCTACTCCCGAACAAATTACGTACATGCATATGCTGCTTACCCAACACAGTCCTTTCTAGACGAAAAACGTCGATATAGCATTGCTGCTTCCCAAACACTGTCATCAAAGAGTCGTTAGTAGACGAAATAAGTCGAAGTGGCATTCGCCTCCGATCTTCGGGCGTGTGCGAATAGGGAGGATGCAATTGCATATTCAGAACCACACGCCCCCAACGACCACACAAAATGCTCTCCAGAGTTATAATCTTGTAACCAAACTGCAAGGGTGCAAGTGATTTTGATCGATTCTCTTCATCGACTTTCTGTTTCGCTAATAACTCGACGGCAAATACATTCATTGATACGTTTGTTGTTTTGGATGATAGATGAGCGCTTTACCGACATCCCTTCTTATTTCTACTCGTTTGATTTAGTGCAGTAGAGAAAATAAATCAAAGTACTAATTCATCTGAACAGGCATAGAGAAGAACCATGACGTGAAACAGGATCATAAATTCGCCGAAAAAAGTGTTAAGCATCTTTCTGCTAAAGGCTAAGATTTGCCAAATTGTTGAGAGAAGGAGTTTAACGAGAAAAACTATAAAGGGGATGAGCTTTAACTGGGTGAACACTGATATTCTGCGGCCTTTCAACCTGTCACAGACACCAGTTCAACCCCTGTCCAGCAGCAGACAGTTGAACCGAAGAATATGGGATTGTCCGGTCCGATTTGCGTCATCATCATCTTCCAAAGGCTTGAAGCCTGTACTACCATTTCCAAAAGAGTTAAATTTCTGAATATGTCCCAACTAAAATTCATATCAAAAGGTTCTTTTCAGGGCAATTATAGTCATACAAATACCATATATTATATAATACCACTTAGTCCTACGTCACCATAGCGTGCAACCCCATAGGGCTGTTCCTTGTAGTTTTTTTTTAACTGGAACAACCTCTTTTACTGGCAACAACAATACATTTTTAAATTTAACTAAACTAAACTATGATAGACGAGCACAAACTCTCGAACACGAAGTCCTACCTATGATCAAATGACAACTCCAAGGATGTTGCTTTCTTCTGCAAAGATATTCAAGAATACAAGGTCTATAAACCATGGATATGAAATCCTTTGCACCAGTACGGATTTCCGGATAAACTGACGCGATTGGTCAACGCGACGATGGATCGAATAATGTGCGTTGTTCGAGTATCGGAGACACTCTCGAGTTCCTTTGGATCTCGAAGGGGGTTACGGCAAGGTGATGAACTTTCGTGTCTGCTATTCAACATCGCGTTATAAGGTGTGCTCAGAAGAGCTGGGATAGACACGAGTGACACGATCTTCAGGAAGTCCATTTAGCTGCTTGGTTTCGCCGATGACACCGACATCATGGCACGGAACTTTGAGACCAGATTGGAAAATTTCTCGTCTTCCCTGGGCATAGTATATTACTGTACTTGCCACACCATATATACATGTAAAAATCAAACAGGCTTGGAAAGCTTTCAATTAACAACTGCACTAAGTTGAGAGCAGGCGTTAAGTTACAGTTGGGACGTAATAGCCAGAGAAGATCATAGATAGCACTAACTAGTGGAGGAATTCCGAATTGTTCTGTCCATCATCCAACAGTCCTTGACCCCCTGATCAACTTTGCCGAAGAAATCATCCGTCTAAATAGTCTGGATCTTGAGATACAGCAGCGCAAACATATTCACTTCGAATGCTCACTAGCGCCACCTAGCGGAGGAATTCCGAATTGTTCTGTCCATCATTCAATAGTCCTTGACCTCCTGACCAACTTTGCCGAAGAAATCATCCGTCTAAATAGTCAGGATCTTGAGATACAGCAGCGCAAACATATTCACTTCGAATGCTCACAAGCGCCACCTAGCGAAGGAATTCCGAATTGTTCTGTCCATCATCTAACAGTCCTTGACCCCCTGATCAACTTTGCCCAAGAAATCATCCGTCTAAACAGTCAGGATCTTGAGATACAGCAGCACAAACATATACACTTCGAATGCTCACTAGCGCTGCCTAGCGGAGGAATTCTGAATTGTTCTGTCCATCATCCAATAGTCCTTGACCCCCTGATTAACTTTGCCCAAGAAATCATCCGTCTGAATAGTCAGGATCTTGAGATACAGCATTCAAATCATGCAAAATAGGAGATTTTAGGGCAAAACTGTGAAAAACCCCAACATACTCTATCGTGCCCAAAATGAAATCCACTCCAATCAATTCCTGAGACTTTTTGCTATAAGAATGACTATTTTTTATTCTCTTGTTCCAGCGAGCACCGAAGTTATTGAATTTTAACACATTGTTTCGATTTTGTCCCCAGTGTGCGATGGCGGAAACGTACATCAGACTGAAGGCTGACGCTAGACGGATTGGACTTGCCATCAACGCAGCAAAGACAAAATACATGAAAGGAAGAGGTTCTAGGGAAAACAGTGTTTGCATCCCACCTCGAGTTCAGATTGACGGTGACGAAATCGAGGTGGTCGACGAGTTCGTGTATTTGGGCTCACTGGTGAAGTTGACTATCGACAGGACGCTGATAAGACCAGTGGTCCTCTACGGCCACGAGACCTGGACTATGCTCGTGGAGGACCAACGCGCCCTTGGTGTTTTCGAACGGAAGGTCTTGCGTACCATCTACGGTGGAGTGCAGATGGATGACGGAACGCGGAGGAGGCGAATGAACCACGAATTGCACCAGATGGGAGAACCATCCATCGTCCACATTGCAACCATTGGGCGACTACGGTGGGCTAAGTACGTCGTAAATGGTTCTCGAAAGCAACCCAACAGTAACAAGAAGAAGAGGTGCGCAGCGGGCAAGGTGGATCGACCAAGTAGAAGGCGACCTGACTTCGAAGTGTGGCCATGGATCGAGTAGAGTAGAGACGACTTCTTCGGACAGCAGAGGACAACAAGGCCTTAGCCTGATGGGTAAGGTAAATAAGTATGTCATCATTTACTCACTAGATGGCGCTTAAACGAAAATAAACCAGTTGCGCCATCAAGCATGTACACATTATATAACGCTATCTACAGATCCTATTCATGCGGATGGTTCCCGTCTTCTGCAAACTTCTTCAGGTAGACTGTACCTATCTCAAAGATCAGTGTTTAGTTCGTAATTATATCACCATTCCCATTCAAGGTTCCCATCTTGGGTAAAGTTGTTCAGATGGACAAGAACTATTTTATGGTAAAGAGTTTAGTTCAGATTTTACTCACTAGGTGGCACTAGTGTTACATTTTTTTTTCATAATGTGCCCTAACTTAACATCTTGTCTAGATAGAAGGTTCCCGCCTTGGAAAAAGTTGTTCATATGAACAAGACCTATGATATGGTATGGTAAATAGTTCAACTTATTATTCACTCACCAGAAAACGTCGCTAGAACTATTCCACAGCCGCAGTCAGTTTATGAGCAAAAGAGGGACGCACATTTTTTGCCTGTAGACTTGGAGACATACTTCAAGTCTCCGCGTACATCGTACGGGTTAGGCAAAAGATGTGCGTCTATCTTTAAAAACTGTCGCATTAATGGCCCTTCGCTCATTTTCAACTTCTATTCAATTTTCATACTGCCGTACTCTAATGGAACTATCCACCTACTCTTCTAAAAGATCATTCTCTAGCTAATAAATTATCACACTAAAGCTTCATGTTAGCATTTCCAACCAACTCTGAAAATCGCTAACTTCGCGTATGAAATAACATAAAAACACTTTGAATGAAATTGAAAATTTGCTAAACTAAATACAAAAAACAATGGATTATTCATTAAGCAATGTTTCAATATTTTTATTTAATTTTTTTTTCAGGGTTTAAGATAGCAACAGTCGTTTGCTTAGAGATTTAGTTACGCCTTGAAATTGTTGGCTGCTCTCTGCCTATTGATATTAGAACCTGTTATTGAAATTCGAAAGCATGATTTCCCGTTCTCGGCAATAGAACAATCCAAGGGCAGGAAACAAAGAATGTTTTCAAACTCGTTGTGAACCGCACAAAATGCCATGCTTGTTCTGGTACGAATCGTCTCAAAATGAGGATAAACTTTTAACGATTCTTCAATTATAACTTACTAACATCAACCCACGAAAGCTGAAATATTTCACAACCAGCAATCGTTCCTCGTCAAACACGACCCAACGCTCCAATCCGGAAGAGAACCATTTCACTCTCGAAGCATTTCTCCCCCCGCTCAATCAAATAAGCGTTTGCAAATTCTCAAGGTTCGTCGCTTACTCACGGTTGAAATCTTTCATCACAAGTACAAGCCATCGGATCCATCCGTGAGAGAGAGCGATTTACATACTGCTCTCGCTCTTTCACTCAATAACGGTGAGTGCCTTCCCGATCGCCCCGCCGACGATCGAGTGCGATCGCCCAACATAGGAAGCGAGAGTGAGCGCCAATACACCACCCACCCCCTCCGTTGCTGAGTGGCTGCCATTTGCTGTCGCCGCAGCTCCAACTGTCTTTGCGAAAGATTGTCTTCTTCTCCATCGCTATTCGGTCTCTGCACCGCAAATCGTCGTCTTCGTCGTGGTCGTCGTCGTCGTCGTCGTCGTCGTCATTGGAGCTCTACTCTCCGACGGATGGGGGATCGGGTTCGAACCGCCCGAATACTGTATTACTCGGTCAGTCGGTCTAGAGGTACGACATCAGCATAACGCGCTGTGCTGTGTTGCTGTTTTTACCGTTTTCTTTCCCCCCCACACTGCGCTGCCCATAGAGAAGTGGAAAGGAGTGTGTGGCGCACACATCAGAGTGGAAGCTTTAGCAGTCCCCTGCATCCCTTATTCCGTGTGTCCCGTGTCGTCCGTCGGGTGTCCGTCGGTTGGAGTTTTAGGGTTGCAGTGCGCGGATTCGATTCCCCGAGCCGGCGGCTTGTTTGTTTTCCTCCGAAGGGAGACTTGAATGGGCGAACAAGCGACGATTTTGTGTTCAACTGATAGAAGCTAAGTGAAATGGTTGTGTTCTTTCGTGCAGTTAATTAGACACCTATTGTAGTCGATTGCGTTTGGCTGAAACAAGTGTTCACGGCAAGCATTGGTTCCAAACATTAGCCCGTGCTGAATTCGGTTGTTTTGCGTTTTTGGGGGAAATTTTGCCGCTGCCGAATCGTGGAAGGATCAGTCAGTTGCACTGAAGCAAAACAGTTCAGTGAAAAGTTTCGCCCACATCTGAAAGGCGATAGCTAGGCAGGAGAGTGTGTGTGTGCGCAAGTGGTAACAAAAAAAAAACGTAGTTCATTAATTAATTTTACTCTGTCGAGTGGAAAATTATATGTAAATTTGTTGCGGCCGAGCTCGCAAATAAAAAAAAAATACCTATACGCGGAGAAGCTGAGGAGCCGCCGAGTGAGGTGATGAGTAAATAAAACAGAAGCACTGTGAAACAGTTGGATGGTCGGTGAAAAGTTTGATCGCATCGATAACGACAAGTGGAAACGAAACACAACACAGCAAGGCAAAAGGAAGCCCATCGGGAAAGTCCCCGGCTCCACTAAATCATCTTCCGCCGTCGTTGGCTTTTCGGAAGAAGCAGTCGGTGATTTGTTTCAGTGTGCAGTTGGAAAATATTAAAATCAGATGATCTATCCGAGAGGTGAAAACGGAAACAAGTGAGACAAACGTCGGCGTCGAGAGCGGAGTGATTATCGCTTTGGGCTTTGACCAAACAAGCAAAACAAGCAACGAAAATTTAAGCCTAGAAAATGATCGTTTAGTGAGAAAGTGATGTGAGCTAGCCGAGAAGCTTGTGACGAGAAGAGATTTACAGTTAACCGTCGTCTTGCACAGATACATACACATACACACATACACGCACTGAAGCATCCAGCGAAGCTAGGAAATCTGAGATTTGTTTTCGTTTCTCTATTTTCGGTAGCAGCGCAGTTTAAAGAAAGAAAAAAAAAAGAATCAGTGCGTCGTTTGTGACAAGTGCCCCCAGAAAGAGAGAGAGAGAGATATAGGGAGCGAGAAAGATGCTTACATGCAAAGCAAGTGCGTGCGTGACCCAGTAGTGCGCGGATGGATTAAGTGACGAGACGGATTAACTTTTGACATTCTTTTGGCTGTAAGAGCAAGGTTGCTGAAATTCCCCCGCAGCCGTCGTGTTTTGGTGCTTTGATCGGTAAGTCGCATACGCATTGTTCTGGGGCCACAGACTCTGGGCAGACGCACTCGTCCATTGAGATGCAAATTAGTTTGGCACGCTTTGGGGGGTGGTGTTCGTGTGCGGGGAGGGATTTTATTTGATTGGAATAGCATAAATGTAAGTGGATTTTTGTGTGTTCATTTTAAATAGAGGGTCCCCCGTTGCGGTGGGTGAGTGACGTTAACAGCTATTGGAACGAATGGCATCATTTATCATTTTTCACGGGGGGAGTTTCATGGGGTCTAGGTAGTTGGCAAAGTTTTGGACAATAAGAGTGGCGAAAAGTGCTACTTGCGGCTCGAAATGGTTCGATTGAAATTGCTGTGAATGGAATTATTTTCGTTATAACAGACGGGTGCTTGATTTGGGGCATCCCGTATGCTTTGGCTGTGATGGATTCGGGTCCCAGTCCAGTCAATGATGTTTTCTGGTTAGACACATAATATCCAAATACAATTAACAAATGAATTAGTGCTCAAAGTACGCTATATATGGGGCAGGAGCAAACAGTGATGTCAATATTCCAGTTTAAACTGTTTCCAGTTTTTTTTATGCATCCAGGCAAACAGTTGATGTTTGAAATCTTCGAATTTTTTGTAGAAATCATCCAGTTTTATTCAATTTTTCATTATGAATAGCAATTTTTTTAAAGCATGGTTACAAGAACATAATTATTAAGATGTTTCACGTTAAACTTTGTTTTGTAATTGAAATAAGGAAATGCAATATTTATTAACAGTCATAATACCATACCTGCAAAATGCGTGGCAATGCTGTGAACAAGTTCGGTTCACGGCAACGAGACAGGCGTGCTATGTCAGAGCATTGACATGCCTTTGTCAGCTTTGGTATTATGACAGTTAACATCATTTTATCCTGATGAATGTGGGCGTTTTAGTGGAATACCTGTATAATGAGAGTGAGAAGGATTAGTATTTTCTATTTAATTCCACTACTTTATTTGCTTATCCTTGACAGATACGCGTATTTCGTCTACAATGTGCAGACTTCTTCAGTGTCTTGTACTAATACTCGACTATGTCAAAGTTAACCTAACTGATGTTGAGTCCTTGTAACAAAACAGTACGTTTAAGAACAATGGAACCATCTCATATTATGCCGTTAATATCTTCGTCTTCGTCTTCTTCTCTGGTGAATTATTCAATTAAATCAAAGTAAAATGGTAGCAGAGTGCCTTTTAAGACAAATGCCAAGTTTATAAGAAATGTGGCTTCGAATTACGTTAAATATATGTTATTTTTGGTTAAACATGACATTCCGTTATAAGAGAACAGATTTACAATCGAAACCATTAAAAGTCAAAGTTAATCATTCGCTCAAGGGCTGACACCGAGCGCCAAAAAAAAAGTTGAGTGTTGTTTCCAAAGCACGACCGCATTGTTGACGTAGAACGACGAATCAATGGTTTAGAAATTTAATTGAAAATTAGAAACCCTTGATATTTTTCACGGAAGTCTCTTGGAACTTTAAATAATCTTTATAGTTACCTCAGAATTAAATACTCTCGAAATTTCTTTGAAGCTCTCATAAGAACTCCCTTTACATTCTTCTCAGAATTTATTTAGAATATTCATTAGAAATTAACCTGTAATCCTCTTTACAATGGTCATGTAATTGTGCCAACTAAAAGAAGAAGACGTCAGAGTCATGCAAAACATCCAGTTTGGTACAACAGGGAACTGAAAAATTTAAAAAATCGAAAGCAAAAATTTTATAAAAAAAATATAATAGTAAAGAAATTTTGGCATGCTTTTTAGACATTTGCGATCAGTTAAATTTGGCCGTGAATATGGCATTTGAGGTGTATAATTTAAAAACTGCACTTGAAATAAAATTTTGTTCTCGGAACTTCTTCAATTATGTGAAAACCAAATTAAAATCTGATAATTTTCCCTCAAAGATGCATTTGGACGATAGGGTAGGTGAGAACTCGGATGATATATGTAATTTCTTTGCAAATTTCTTCCAAGAAATCTATACTACGTTTTCAGAAGACGACCGTGACCGTGAATATTTTTAATCTTATCCAGAATTTTCAAGTGACATCAGCATAAGTCAAATCAAGGTTCATGATATCTTAAAGGGTTTAAACAATTTAGATGCATCTAAAGGCTGAAAGAGGGGTTGTTTTGCATATTGAAACTCGGTTATCTGCTGTGTATATTAAAATTAATTAATTCAAATGAATATATTTATTTTATATTCATTCGTAATTTGAATGCAGTGGTGACCCGATTTTGTCAGCCTGTAGAACTCAATTAGTTTCGTTTGAGGTGAACTGAGGGGCCTCCCTTAGCTCAGTCGGTAAAGGCGCAGCTACAAAGCAAGACCATGCTGGAGGTGGCTGGGTTCAATTCCCGGTCCGGTCTAGGAATTTTTCGGGTTGGAAAATTTCTCGACTTCCCTGGGCATAGAAGTATGATTGGCCTTGCCACACAATTATACCAATGCAAAAATGGTACAGGCATCGAAAGCTCTCAATTAATAACTGTGGAAGTGCATCTAGAACACTAAGTTGAGAGCACGCAATAAGCTAATATGCGATATGCAATAAGCTTGAAATGCGAATGTTTTCTACACTCGGTGATGGTATTTTATTGATTGCAGGACTCAATAGTGGCATTCTTCGAGAATTATATTCGGAATTTGGACTCTGAACACCACAGGGTGACCCTCTGGAAGATCAGGAACAACCGTGGTCAATTCATGAAATTGTTCTTCGAGCTTCGTGGTTTTTTCAATTCAATAAGGCCGGAACAAATCACAAGATTTTCTTTTGTCACTCGATGCGTGCACCAGTCAAGGGGGGGGGGGAATAAAAACAAACCATTCAAAATTTGATTTACATCACATCTAAAGCTTTTATTTCAAACGTTTACTTTACTTCTTACCCTTTGCTTTAGCCTTATACTTCTTTGAAGTCGCGATTTTTGACACTCATGCATAACAGTAGCCACAAATGTTGATTTTATTATGTGTAACACTCGGGTTATCAACATGACATTCGCGCATAAGTTTTTGCATCCTTTTAAGGTAGAACATAATGTAATAATGTGGATGAATATAATCAAAGCAACTAATTTTTGGGTTTTGATAAATTTCGTGTAAACCATCAAGCGAAATACCACAAACTTAATAGTTCTTATATATAAAAAGCGTTCTGTTTTCGAACGTTTCTCCTTATTCAAATATAACATGCAGAACAGGAAACCCAAATTGATATAAAAATGCTTACTCTGTGAATTTAAACCCAGTTTTCTCAACAATTGTGCGTGCTTCAAAAAATCTAACCAGACGTATGGATCCTGGAAGATCTATTTAACAAAATCCAAGTCCAATATTCAAAGTAAGGAGCCAAAATCCATCTTGGCTGAACATAAAAACCAAATTTTAATAAAAATACGTACTTTTGTCAATTTAAACCTGGTTTTTGGGTGTCTTTAAAAAAAATCATCACGTATGAAATCAGCAAGGTCCATTCTATACAATACAAGCCTATTTTTCAAAGATATGAGCCGAAATTCAACTTGGCTGAAAAGGAAACCCAAATTTCTAAGAAAATACGTACTTTTGAGAATTTAAACACTGTTTTCTAAAAAATTGTCCTTGCTAAAATAATTTAGCATCACGTATGGATTAAGCAAAGGTAATTTTATAAAATCTAAAACTATTTTCCAAAGATCGGAGCCGAATTTCAACTTTACAAAACAGAAAATCAAAGTTTCTATGAAAATACGTACTTTTGTGAATTCCACCTTAGGGACACGCAATAACCTTTAACTCGAACGCAAGCAACGGCTGTAATTAAATTAATTCCATTGACTACTGCTTTAATTACATTAATTACACAATGTAGAATATTAACTACTTTTTAACTCCTTAAATACAGTCGAAATTTCGTAAATAAAGTACATTAATTACATTTTTTACATTAATTACGGATCGAAAATTTTAATTACTACTTCAAAACGCATTAATTACTTTAAGTACTTTTGAATGCATTTTAAGTTCAACGCGCTGGTTCTTTGCATTGCGTACCCTTCGATTCAACCCTCACGTATGAATTCAGCAAGTTCTATTCTATAAAATCCAAGCATAAATTTCAAACCTTAGCACCGAAGTCCAACCTGGCTTCAAAAAAATTAACAATTACGTCTGAAATAACAAAGGTCTATTATATAAAATCCAAGCCTGTTATTCCAAAGGACGGAGCCAAAATCCAACTTGGCTGTTCAAGAAACCCAAATTTCAATAAAATTACGTACTTTTGTGGATGTAAACAAAGTTTTCTCAATAATTGTGCCTACTTAAAAAATCTACTATCAGATATGAACACACGAAGGTCCATTCTTTAAAATCTCAGCCGACTTTTCAAAGGATGTGAATCTCACCAGAACGAGAAAGGGGTCTAGAGGAGCAGAGTCTACGTAAGGAGTTAGTTAAACCACTTCAGGAAAGCTCATACTAACATTCAAAATATAATTCAATCACTCAACAGAAAAGTTTGAACTCCCTAAGAAAGGTTTTGAACCACTTCAGAAAAAGGTTGGTCTCCGTTTGGAAAATTTAAGTTCAAAAAAGTGTCGGTTCACTTCGAAAAACTTTCTACACTTTAAGGAAAGCTAGATGACCTAAACAAGATAGTGTCCTTGCCAAAGCAGTTAACAAAAATTTGGGGGAAAATGTCAAACCCGGTCTGACAAGTTTGGATTCAGTTCGGAAAAAATTGAATCAATGCAGGAACCTTGAATTCATTTAGGAAAGGGATTAAATCTGCTAATGTGGCCTCACTCCAGAAAATGTGAAACCAAAGCTTGGGTTAGGGATATGTTGGATCACTTCTGGAAAGCTTTGACAACTTTAAAAAGAATTGAATAACAGAAAAGCTAAGTCACAGTAAGAAAAATGTTGAAGACTTATTCGAAAGTTTGAACTCATTTCAAAAAAGTTCAGAC